ATGATTACTATACAAAGAAGACACAAAATTGGCAGATACAAAAGATAAGTAAACCCTCTTCCTCCAGCTGCTCCCTTCCCAATTTTGAGAATATCCTCTCACAGGATATTTCAGAATCTCCTCTTACAGGATTACACTAGGGTGCTATGAATCCAGCAAGGTATAGTCCTCACAGCCTGGAAAACAGCCCACCAAACTGAAACAAAAGAGCTCCAGGTGTTCTAAGGTGACTTTATACAATGCAATCTTTACAACCCTTTGCACCACAGAGAACCCAGGGGGAAGTGGAAGAGATTCAATCAACCAGCAGTTAACTAGGAACTCAATCTGTCTATTCCCACAATTCTGTGGCTTTTGTACCATTACTAAATCACCTCCAAGTCTCAGAGCAAGGGGGACAAAGCAGAGCACTGGCGTTTTAGCAGGACATGATGGAAAATCTTCTCAGAGGTATGGCAGCTGTCGCTGGTGTAAAGAGCGGCCATCTCCCAGCTGCATCTCTCCCCACCCAAAACTGCCTTTCTTTGCTAGCTTCAAAGCACCAGAACACAGCATCTCCTACAGACTAAAACACTTGGAGAGGCACATGAATGGTTTTTGGCAGCAACTTAAAAAGATGGTGTTTCTCTGACAGTAGGGAAACACCTAAGAACTCAGACAAAATGACCACTCTTGGTAAAAAAAGCTCGAATCAATGGCTTACAGCACCCCCATGTACCTTAGAAATCTTATTTATCCCTCTGCCAGTCACCCAGTTAACATGCATAGTTCCTACCTTGTAAACTCCTCGTGAAGGTTGTTCGGTTCTGATGAGTAGTACTTAATTCGAAAATGCAACGTGTACGGAGGTCCAACTGGATATGCAGAGATTTTAAATAGGTAAAAAAAAAAGTTCATACTAGTTGTGGTTCCACTAAGGCAGAACAACAGCCACTACCCCACAACCCAAGAAACCCAAAATGAAGTATGTTTTTTCAAATTCTTCAAAGAAGCAAATATTTCATGTTTTTAAATTTAAAAATGCATGCAAAAAAATATTATTACCATACTTTATGTTACCCTAATCATTAGGTTAACCAAGCAACAGTCCATTTGGCAAACACATTTTTGTTCAAAGAGGTGTGCTCTGCAGCACACTGTGAATGACAGCAAGTTCCAGGTACACTGCCTGTTGCTGAAGGCAAGGGGAGATGGAAGGGAGAGGGAGGGAGGAAGGGAGAGGGTGATGCTTCCTTGTTACCAGGCACAAACAACTCCAAAAAAAACCCCCACCCAATAGATCAGCTTTCGATTAATACACATGAATGAGAACAGATAAATAAGGTGAGAAGTGCTGGAGAGGACTCTGGAAGGCACCCATGAACACAGAAATTTAACAAATTCCACAAAGTGGAGTTGCAAGGATTGTTGTTTTCCAATGCCAGAAGGTGAATGCTTGGTCTGACTTTCTATGTAACACAGATAATAGAATGTTACCCACCTACCACGAGACTGTGACCAATGCACCCTCATCTGCCTAAGCCTCATCTTTCAGACCAACAGCCTGCTGGTATATTAAGTGCTGGAAAAATGACTCTTTTTCACACCTTTCTAAGGTTTTCTGTAACACCGCATCAACACAGTATCCATGGGTCTATTAATGATCCATTCTACTAAATGACGTGCAGACAATACTCTAATATTAGAGCTTCGACCTTGTCTCAAACAATAGCTCCTAGAAGACAGGTTATAGTACCCTAGGCTGACAGGCACCACTGGTGAGGTCTGCACCAGCAAGATAAGGACTCTTACCTGCCCACTGCTGGGAAAAAAGGAGCAGTGAGCAACATCCACCATGAAAGAGGAACTCTTCTTAAAGCACCTGCTGAATGCAAGGTAAAGAAAAGTATCCTGTTGTGAGACAGTCCTTTACAACACTCATCAAATTCCTTCCCTCTTCGG